ATCCAGACTAACTCAGAGATCAGAATCCAAAGCAATTGAGTCCAGGATCAATGCCACAGAACTCAAAAGAAGAAGAGACTGTGTGAAGGAAAGAAGAGTGGAGTTTGCCTTTTCCTTGTTTCTGTTTAGGGAAAGGACAGCATGTCATTTAAGAACTTAGGGTCTATCTGTCATAGTAGAAGGCCTTAATTTAATTTTTTTTTTTTTTTTTTTAATTTCACACATTTTACTCCAAAAAGACTCCCAATGTTTTGTCTAAGTTCCTGTCTTCAGGCCAGCAGATATGCTTGAGAGCACTGTGGGAGTGGCAGGCTCTTGCGCTGGCAGGATACAAAGAGTGAAAGACAGCAACCATGGTCCCCACAGCCATGGTATCTGAGATATTCATCATGGTGAATGCCAAAGGCACAAAGCCAACACAGGGAGGTCTCAGGCCATTGTCTCAAGAAATTACAAATTGATGAAGTCCTTACCACATTAGAGGCATGTATATTTTAAAATGATTTTCTATTTTTTTTCTTAAGTATACAAGAAAGACAACTTTATAGTTATTTAAGCCATGGAAGTACTGCTGGCAACAGTGAAAGCAAGCTCTGTGTTGATTTTATACAACTGTATACTTCCTATTTTATAATCAAGTTTAGTCTATACACACTGTAATACAAGAAATCTTTCACAAACCTGTAACCACTGTTACATACACGGCAAAAAAAGTATGATTTACATTGATATCCAAGAGATATGAGAAGAAACGCACACAGGAATTGAGGGAACATAATGAAAGTGGATCATAAAGCAGATATTAGGGGGTTCTGAATGCAGGACGTAGGCAGAGCAAGAAGGATAGTAGCACAGTTGGTTATAAGTATTTGTGATTTTTTTTTTCTCAGTCTAAAATTTCATCTTTATCAAATTGGAATATTCTATGAGTATATATCTATTTTAATGTCAGTTTCTTTGGAAAGTGTGTTGGCAGGCAGGACAACCAGATGGCTATCCTGTTTGCTTGCCTGGCTGCCTGCCAGCCACTCTGACAACTAAGCAGGACCCACCAATGTGTGCAATAAGCTTAGCCTATAGCAGCAACAGTATATGTGATCCTTTACTCCCTAACTAAATTGCATAGAAGAAAATAAGGAGAAACAACCAGACTAAATGAGAACTCTTTCTTGTGTTTAGCATAGTGTTGCCACATATGTTGAACTTTTAGGTTATTTGGAGGTAGTAGAATGCCAGTGAAATTACCATGTGTAAGGCAAAACATGTAATACTCCATTGAATTCTGACTTGGCCAACTGGGCTAGTCATTGCATTTGTCTTTTCCTTCCTCTCATATGTTTACTGTACTGGATAGTCTGGTCTTTTCTCAGAGAATTTTATCTGAAGTTCTGAATATTTACCACTTACCTTTTTTTTTTCCTTCATTTTTTCATTGAAACTGCTTCTTTGATGACAGAGGGACAGAAAAAACAGCTTATGGACATGAAATACACAGTATGCTTTACAGACTAAGAATATTTCCTTTTAATTCTTTTCCATTGTAGCAGAAAAGTTAAAATATTTCCCTTTCCTACAATAATACACCGAAATAGATTTTCTTTTTTCAGTTGTACCTGTACAGAACAAAATGCTCTTTCATCCCTTCTTTAAAGCTTTTTTCAGTGTGGAGTTAAATTCTACTTATATTAATAATTCACAGATTTATGCATGGGAGATGTAGTCAGCATATATTCAGTTGACTCTACAGGACATTTGTGTTTCTGCCTCATAAAGCATAGGTAATAGTGATCAGTTAATATTTTGAGTGCTATAGGTTTATTTCTGTTATTGTCATATGCAAAATTATTTAAAGAAAGTTAGATATTTCTGAGGAGCTTCCCCATTTGTGACAATTGCACAGAGTTTAATTTGCTATAGCATTAACTTTTTAAGATTTAAGAATAGATTAGCTATTAAAGGACCGATTCTAACATATATAGCTATTGTAAAATTCTAACATTCTAACTTTGGGAGCTATTTTGAAAAGGATTTTGGATGAGAGGAAATCTGAAATACATTTCATGTGGCAATCCTATCTTTCATTTCATTTTCCAGAGATTTCAAACTTCTCCTCAAATCTCTGTCCAAACCAGATATGTTCAAATATTCATAAAAGTTAAGGTATACTAACAGAAAAGAAACAATATTAACTTGAAACAGTCTCTACAGAGAAACAAAAAACAAACAAAAATTCAATTAAATCTATATTACAGGCCTAGGAATGGATTGTTATTATGGTCTCCATAACATAATAGCTGCTACAAAACATTGCCAAGTAGTGATTTTTTGCCTAAAATGACAAACCTTCCTACTGAAATTTCACAGTCCATTTGACTTCAGAGAGATGGAATTGTCCTTCATGGCAGATATACTAACCGTAAAGAATAATGATAATTTCAGTGGTATTGAAGAGCCTATCACATCAAAATTTCATTTGACCTTATTCTGATGTAACATTTCTGAGATGAAACATTGTTTTTATAAGCATATATATTGTTGTCATCAATATTATAAAACCTTTGCTTGAAGACTAGCAATCTAAAATAATCTGGAAGTTAAAATACATATTGTCTTATGTTAATATATTTTATCATGATTCAAAATTTGGATGCTGTGGAAAATAAAGTAGTGCTCAAAACAAACAAACAAAAAGTAGTCTTAAGATAAGCACAAGTTACAGAAGTTGAAAATGGCTGAAACATCCACAAGGCTTACAGTTAATGATACTCTATATATTGGTTTGACTCTGTAGAGAGATATGTAGCTGTATATTCAAATATATTCAGGTTCACTAAGTTCAGGTCTACTAAGTAATACACAAAGAAGCAATCTATTACTGAAAATAATTGTTTTCATAGGGATTTCATGAAAGGCTCTCGTGAAAAAAAGACATAAAAGATTTTGGTAAATGTAAAGACGATGGAGAAAAGTTTAAGGATAGGGTAATGGAAGAGTGAAATAACCTGTTGGGTGGTTATGTAATGGCTTGCGTGCTTTCTCACTCATTGCCAGTGATCTTAGGTCCACATGGTGTCAATCTGATAAGTTTGACAGCAGAAAATTTTTTCTTAAATGCCTGGCTCTAGAAATGAACAGCTTGTTGATATTATTTGTTCTTAGATAGTATTGTTTGACAGAAAGATTATATAATAAATACCTATTTGAAAGAAATGATGAAACTTGATCCGTACAGTGAGAGTTGCTGATCTCTGTAGAGCTGTTATTTCCTAAAATAAGAAAATTTATTCTTTTCTTCAGTTTCATTAATAAGAACATAGGTTTGATTTGCCAGAATTTAGTGTAACATCTACAGGAGTGAAATACTGTTAGGCCTAGACTTATTACAGTATTGATCTAGCTATTCACTATTTTGTGATCAAGCTCTTTTATTTTTGTTCCTGTTTCATCAAGATTTTCAGAAGTGACTAGTGATAAGTTGTTGTTCCTTAAAGGTGTGTGACACCTTTAAGGAAAGGTGCTCAAAGTGCTGAGTAGTCATCATGGCCTTTTTTAAATATTGAAGCTCCTGCATTGCAGAAGTTATTACTTGAAATTCAAATATAAGATATGAATATTCAAGTCAAATGGAAATCCTCTCATTACTACATTTACCTTTTAAAAGTTAATTATTCTTACTGTAGTGAGGTGCAGTTTCTGAAAAGGATCTGTAAATAAAAAGTGCAACACAGTCAAAGGTGATATCTGACGGGTGGATGATTATAATATCGAATGTTCACAATCCAGTTGAAACTGTAGAGATGATAGAGATGATGGATTTGTCAAAGCTGCTGAAGTATCACAATATAGTATCATTCCCAGTTCTGTACCACAGACTGTGCTCTTTCCAAATCAAAGTTAATCATTTTACTTGAGGAGGAAAAAAAAAATCAAACCATGGATGGCTTAACACAGTCATTAGGGAGAGCAAGTAAAAATCAATAAAATAACACTTAATACAAAAATCTGAGAACTGAGTTTCTGTTCCTTCATGCTTTGCCACCTTTTATCAGCATATTCTTTTCAGAAATTCTGAAATTCCTATACTGCATTCTTCCACTTTTTCTACTGGTCCTATATTATTATTCTTCTTGTCAGATAGTGATCAGAATTTCCATATTATTGATGTGTTTTACTTTTGGATATAATACCATATTTGTTCAGTAAATTACATTAAATGTGTTTAAGCTGTGACAAACAGTAGCCACTAAAAAAAATACATAAAATGATAATGAACTGGAGGAGGTTTGTGTTTTCTTTTTCTTTTCTTTTTAAAGGGCATTTAGGTGTGTTGAACTTGATAAAGAGGAGATCCTGTTTGGCGGGAACTTTGCTCTTGCGATTTCTGAAAGACAGGGGAATGAGGGAGGGCATTACCATTCTATATATAAAGTTTGAAGCTTGAAGAATTAAGTCTGGAAGGTGGCAGCAGCAGCACTGCCCATTTGGAGTAGACAGTGGAACAGAGACTGGAGAAAAAAATCCAGTTAGGGTATGAATCATGTTTCTGACTGTATTGCTACCTATCTTGTGCACTTTTCTGCAATGTACAGGTAAGTTTAGATATCTTTATCCCTCTCTGTGTACCATTTGGAGGAAAATATTTATGTACTGAAACCAGCTAGGATACTCCATTATGAAACTATCACTGATTTGATTCACATCTTGATTTTTTTTCCCAACTACCACCATCAGCAATATATGTACATGTTTTTTTCTCCCTCACTCAATGTGAAAATCCAACTACATATTTAATAAATATGTGACTGAAACAGAACTATTTTTTGTTATTTTTCCTTACTAACTTTTCTTTTGAGTTATGTTTACTGATATCATGGGAGGAATCATTCCCTAAAAATTATAGAAAATAGAGATATTGCAGTACATTCCCTAAGTGTTCGGCTTTTTTTTTTTTTTTTTTTTTTTTTTAAATAGACTTACAGTGTGGTGGCAAACTGCAAAGTGCCTTCCTCGTTCAGTGCTGCTGTGATGTTACTGGGGAATCTGAACATCTCTCCTGTACAGAATTACAATCAAAGCATTTTTATTATTTTAAACTGCATGATGTATTTGATTTTTTTTTTAATACTTGATATGTACATTGGTGTTGTAGTGACTATGCTTTCTTATTATTTCCTCTTCCTGTAACGTTTTCAATAGCTTAGCATTGCTTAAGCACATGATTTCTTTTTATCTATTCTGTATGTTCTCTATCATCATTGATTGTTACATTTCTGATTTCAAGAACATGCTTCTGAAAGGCATACTTCACTTAATTTAGTTTGAACAGAGCTAAATTTATTTCTTTTATATTGTTTACTAAATTTAATGAACCATATAGTTGCAGTTGCACCAGGTCACATACTACACGTAAATCACTGACTTAAACCGTAGTGCTAAAATATAGAAGAAACTCAACTCTTTTGTAAATTCTCAGGGTTGTGAGCACTTGAGCCCTGGGTCCTAAGTCCAAAATGCAGGTATCTACAAGTTATTTATCAGCATGGGACTATATATAGGATTATTAGATGAATTACTGATAAAGGTTAATCTTAGCAATCAACTGGGAAATTACTTTTTGGAGAAATGAAGGAAGTTTCATTTTAACAGCTTTCATCAAAGGAAATATTTGGTTTTCACTTATATAAATTACCTGACATAGTTTGAAGTCATTACTAAATTGTGTTGTGTTTATCTATAGTGATGTCTCACAGTAACTGTAGTATGACTTACTTCTTCACAGTGATCCAGATTCCTTTTCTGGGTTGCATTCCAATTATTAACTAGACAAAACAGAAACTGAATTTTAGCAGATATTACTGTTGAAAAACTTGACCGATTAGAAAAAAAAAAGATGTCAAAAGTTTTAATTTCAATTACAAGGAAAGAGAAGTGATTGAAGTTAATGTGCTAATTCAAAATGTAGCATTTCATGTCAACTCAAAATCATCTCACTTCTCCAAAGAAAATAAAATATTTCCAGCAACATAAAAATATCAGAAATTTTCAGCTTTTTAGGAATTTCAGTTAGCAAATTTGTCAAATGACAAATTCTAGAATAGTTCCTAGATACAAGTTACGCATGGGACCATAGCCCTTGCTGCATCTACACAACCTGCCATTTCATGTGGTTGCAAATAATTAATAAATTTGCCAGGATGTTTTTACTAATCTATTCTGAGTTAAGTATGGGGAAAAGAAAATAAATGCTGAAAATAACTACTGTACCATATTTTAGTACTTTCATCTGACAGGATACGGAGTAACTGGCAACAATCAGCATGGCTCTGTATTTGTTATACTAGCCATCCTTTCAGCAAAATTTTGAAGTGGATTTCATATCTTTAGTTCTATTATAACTCTTAAATAATATGCTGCTCTTGGTAGGGTACTCACTGTGATGTAGGGACACACTCAGAATGTACAAGGACTGAGGAAGTATTCTGGAGATGCCTGCTGAGTTTGTTCAGTCTGGTCCTCTGTTCTGAGCTCTGCTTATTAGAAACAAGGAAATTTGAGGGTAAAAATACTTTAAATACAGAGTTGAAATCTAGCCTCATATACAAGACAAGAGCAATTTGTGTATGGTGGCTTTGACAGCTCTTTTCTTGTCAACATCTTCCATAGACTCTTCGTGCTTTGGGCAGAAAGCGTGCTGCTACTACGAAGAATTTTGGGGCATGTATGATGGCACACTGCAGTTGTCTGGGTGTGGGACAGATAAGGGATCACATTGTACTGCATATTTGCTAAACTGTCCTTGCCTTCACATAAGCAAAACAGAGTGTGTGGAGAAGAGCACGTAGCAACTTCTGGGTAGCTTTTTTTACTGCTACTGCCTAAATATTATAAATAAATTGCTGCAGCAAAAGCAGCAACCAGGCCTGGGGGTTTCCCACTCTTCAGACACAGATCTCATGATTCTTGTGAAGAATAGATGAAAAACTACCTCTATTTTCCCAGTTTTGGTTGTTCCCTTAATTACTTCTGCCAAGATAATGAACTAAGAATTAAAGTGTGGGAAAAGAAATATCCTATAAATTTTTAACAAGGAACACAGAAATTGAGATAGAAGCACTCAGAAACCCCATATTGCGTTGGGTTTCTGTCAGCCTTTGATAACACCAGCTGCAGAAGAATATTTTATTACAAACTGAAATATGTAGTTTCTATTCTTTCTTGTTTGACAGGACACAGGTAAAAAATGCTGACATTGATTGTACCATGTTTTTAAAGAAATAAGTGTACAAATATTCACCTTCCTTGTGCTTAGAGAATAACTAGTAGTGTTGTTCTTTTGGTTTTCAGCTTTTGAAGGAAATTATTGGGCCCACTACTTTATCCAAAAGCAGAAAGAATCTCTGCAAAGAAGTAAGTGTTGGACCTGGTATTTAATGTTCATGTTGCACGTATGGCTAACATCTGCAGTCAGCATCACTTCTGTAGTGTGTTAGATCCTCACATATGCAACGTAAGTCTTTGGTTTAAGGAGCTTAAAATGAAAAACCTTAGTTTTAGAAATTCTGATTCAAGGATTTGCCTGTGAAGAGATGTTACAACTTATTCTCTGGCAATGGTAAGTTTTACAGTGATGGGAAAATAATATGGTCTGCCATGCTGAGATTTTGTTGCTTACGTATAGCAACTAGGAGCAGTTTATAGTAGCTTTTAGCTGATGGAATCAGCTAAACATTTGGAACATTTGGAAATTTGGATGCTGAAGTTGTTCTTAGAATCTGCTCAGTTTTCTTTCCTGTATGTCACTGCTTAATATTGTCTAAGAATTCAGAAAATGGATTCTTCTGATCCTGCAAAATCCAGGAAATGAAAGAAACCTGGATCTGTACGTAGGCTGCGTTACCTAAAGTTTGCAGATCAAACTAGTTCTACGCACAAGTGAGGGGTCAACGTAATGTACTGGCCTACTTAAAGATATTTCATTGGGAAGTACCAAAGCGAATACCAACTTATTCTAAAGCATATATTATCCATACTACCTTTTGAGGCCTACCTTTTGAAGAGGCATTCAACATGATATGCTGCCATTTTGAGGCCTAAAGGTCTGCGGTAGTATGGACTCTGTCCAGACCTGGAGCTCTACTTGCAGCTGTAGATGAACTTTTCCAAGTAGCATCTGGCGGAATAGGGAATACGTCTTCCTTACCTTTATAGCCAGCAGGAAGTCAGACTGGGCAGATCTCTCCTTTAACATCAGCTGTGCCAGCTGAAGTTGTTATTGCCACAATTCTTCACAATTTCCTGGTAATTTCCTTATCTGGTAAGAATGGCTTGTGTGCATGCAGCCTAAGTAACTCCAGCCACCTACTTACTGCAGAATTGTGCTCGTCTTCCTGAATCTAAGACTTATAAAAGATGATAGGAAAAAAATATGATCTTACATCAAAATATGTGCTGTGGGATCATAGCAAATAATTAGCATAGTAGAGCTTTAAAGTGTCATAAATGTTAGTTATCAGAAGTATAGTCAGAACAGTGGATACAATTAAAATGTTAATTTATAAATATAATGGCAACTTTTGATAGCGGTAACTATACTATTTTCTTTTCCAAATAAAGGCAATAATAGTTGTGAAGCAACCCTTCTGAAAAAATAGAATCATTGAAAAAGAACATTAGATCTTCTCTAATATAAGTACAGATACTACTCCTAGTATTCAGAACAAATTATCTCCCATGTTTTGTTTACTGACATTCTTCCTACTAACCTATTATCTTTTTGTCTTGCTGTAAAATACTGTGCCTTACTCTTGCTTACTGTGCTAAAATTCATGCATTTTAATGTCTCACAATGAAATTCTTTAATTTAGTTTGAGGATAATGTAGAGGTGGAGAACAAAAAATAATCATATAAAATGCATTTTTTTTTTTTTTTTATAATAAGAGGCATTTCTTCAGATAGAAGAAGCAAAGAGTGGTGTGAATAAGGTAAATTCTCATTCAGCATAACCACGGAGAAATAACATGAAGTTTATCATGAAGGAAGAAACAATTGAGTACTTTCTATCGGCCAGAAAAAATCTACCACTTATCTCTCTCTTCTGTCTGCTCTTACAGCTTGAGGAGTAGAGCATGAACTGAAAATCAGTAAACATCACTTGCTAAAAACTGAACTTAAAAGATATATAAATATCAAAAGAAATATAATCTATTTTTTAGCTTTCTTGATTTATTGACATTCCTCTTTCTTATTTTTTCTCCAATAAGATTTAAATAAAACCCTTATTTTAAAACACTTCATTTGAAAGCTATCCTTTATAAAAAAAAAAAGGGCACCTATTGTACTCTGACCATTGTATAATCTCATGTAATTATTCCTTGGCATTCTCTGAACAAGTTGGGGTTTGCCAGTCAGTGTGAGTTAAACACAATAATAACTATTAAACACAATAAAACTATCTGGCATGAAGGATAAGGCATCGACGATAACAATTAGCCAACTCCTATTTTCCAGTCAGACGTTCTGGACAGCTCAGAAGTATGGAAGAGGAGTACTTTCAGCCAACAGGTAATCAGTTTATTGGAAAACAACTCTTTTCTACGTCACTTGGATAAAAGCATGGTTTTTGGTAGTCATTTCCTCATTTAAGAGTTAAAGTGTTTTAGCTTTAAAACACTGCACATAAATGGGAGGTAGATGTTGCAAAACTCTCCTGGTAGGTAGTGCTTCTAAGATATATTCTAGAATATTGGAGTTTCAGAAAATTCTGAATTAAGCAAAAATTAAACATTCAATAATGAAAATTAATTTTCTAAGTTTGCAATTACTTACAGTTTTACTTCAGTAATTCTATCAACTTCAGGGAGACTGTTCAAGTGCTTTAAGTAGGTATAGAAACACCTGTAGCTTGAAGTGCTGGAGTTGTATCTCTTCTTATGATTCATTTCAGCTTCCTAAAATCTGTTCCTTCAGACTAAAAATGATTATTGGTAACAGTGAAAAGTGATGAAAACATTGAACATATTAACAAAGTTGGCTTGAATTTTGTTATGTATGCACACAGAGCTGAAAAAAAGTGTGGTTTTACAAGCTCAGCTTTTAAGAATATTTTTGGAAATATAATATTTGGACTATGCAATGAGTTATTCTATAATAATCCCAAACATACCACCATAAATGTTATGTCTGAGATGTTAAGCAATCTCTCCATAGCAAGCTATGAACCTTGCAACCTGATTTGGCCGACTGAAATAAGAAATTATCCTTTGTATCACCAATGAAGGAGATAGAAAGTTTCCCAAGACAAAGGAATCCAGGGAGGTCTCCTCTGCTTATAGTAAATGTAAAAGTATTGCATTTCAGCTGTTGTTTCATTTCCTGAGTTGAGATGGTATTTGAACTTAGAAAAAAATGCTAAGATGTTGCTCACATCATATTAACTCTTACAAGAACTAGGATCTGTGGATCTGTTGGAATAAATTAGCCTATTCAATGAAAATACTGTCTAAAGACAAAAAAAGAGTAGGAAAAAGAGAGAGAGACAAGGTCTTGGACAACTTCTCAACAGAGTAAGTCCTACCTTGAAAGAATTAAAAAGAAAAAAAAGGGGGAGGTTTATAAGGCAATAGGCATTTGAGTAGAAAGTGACTGGCTGTTCTAGCTATTTATGTTTGAAATAGGAATCAGAATTAGCAGATACGCTGTAAGGAGAGCTAAATCCATTTTTCTTTTTCACTTCTATAGTTTTGGGCAAAGATTCCTGTTCTACCTGGGGTGGAGGGCATTTCTCAACCTTTGATAAATACCAATATGACTTCACGGGGACCTGCAACTATATCTTTGCTACTGTATGTGATGAAACCAGCCCAGACTTCAACATTCAGTTCCGCCGTGGACTGAACAAAAAAATTGCAAGGATCATTATTGAGCTGGGACCTTCTGTCATCACAGTTGAGAAAGGCAGCATTTCAGTCAGAAGTGTTGGGTAAGATTCTGGGATGAATGGGGGAAAAAAACATGTTTTGAAAAAGACAAGCAGCTGTATAGCACTTATACCATACATTACTTTGTACTAAAAAAAGAATTAATATATTACAGAAGACAACTAAACAGACTCTGCTCTCATTTATTCCTATCACACTGTCTCTCTGGATGAGTATTCCACTGGCGCTCATTTGGACAAAGTTTATAGTATATTTGTATAGACAAAGAGAGAAACTGGCCTTCACAGGCCAAAAGAGTTCTGCATTTGAAACGATAATGTCTAAAGTGCTACCAGTCAGTTTAATCCCTGTTTCAAGCACATTAGTAACACTTTATACTCTTCAGTAGATAATAACTGAAATTCCTGAATTGTGCTTACAGCTTGTTTGACTTGAGACTAACACTGAGCTCTCTATGCTAAAGGTAATCTTTAGGATTAATCTTTAGGATTCAATGCAACCTTTGAACTATCCAGCTAACAGAGAAATATTGGAAGGACCTGCAAAGAAATTCTTGCGTACAAGGCCCCTGGCTGTTAATAACTTCCAGGGATCGCTATCACCAGAAAACAGCTGTATTGCTAGGAACTACATTGATAGGAAAATTTGTGTTCTACCTCATTCATTCTCCTAGACAAATTGTTCCTTCACAAGGAAATCCCCCTCCAAAGGTTTCAGAATTTTTTAATTGAATAGACACCATTGAATATTTGTCTAGACGCACCTTAATTTAGCAAACTGTACTCTATAACAATTTCCTTTCTTAGATTACTTTCAAGGACAACTACACAAATATATATATATGGGTCTAACTCAACGAACTCTCTCTCTTAATTTGTATGCTCAATGTGAAACCATTACCTAGTGATCCTTCTTTGAGCCACCTGACACTGACTTGGAGTTGGTAGGAATCTTTTGTGTATCTTGATATATTACAGATATGGAGAGAATTTCTATAGTGTGTTGCTACAGGTACTCAGATTATTATGTGTATTACTTTAAAAATGATTACCAATGCTTGCACAGCATAACACAGGGATATAAGAGAGTTACTTTTATTTTCTTTCATCCTTGCAGTATTGTTAAGTTGCCTTATACGAGCAATGGAATTCAAATAGCACCTTTCGGACACAACATCCGTTTGGTGGCCAAGATGATGGAGATGGAGCTGGTTGTCATGTGGAACAATGACGACTATCTCATGGTTAGTAAACTTATAAATAAAAAGAGAACATTCTCATTGGCTTGTTAGAATGATAGGATCTCTTTAGATTTAATGGATATTTTTTGCAAGTATTTACTATTTGGATATTTATTCTTTTCTTGCTTAATCTGTTTCACTAGAAATAAACAAATGTGTTTTTTATACTTGCATTTCCTTTCACTTCCAGCATTACTAGTTAACTAAAGCCATCAATATTGTGATTTATTCATTGTCCCTGAATTTTGACCTTTCCTTAGGCTACTCCGGCAGCTTAAACATTTTGCCAAAGGGATGCTGACGTCATTAAAATAACATTACATTAACGTTTGCATAAAGCAGATTTTAACAGTGTACTCCATAGTTGTCATTTCTGGTGTGCTCCATCAGGACATCTTTTCATTTCTAACAGATGGTGCTCCTCAGAGCTCTTTTTCCTATAACTTTTCATATTTTTCTGTAAAACATGCTGATGCAGTTTAGAGAAGAGAAAGCCTTTTCTCTGGCTGATGTCTGATATTAATGCTGCATAGGACACTGAATTCTGAATTAGTAAATCTGCTAAAATACAGTTTGTAATCCAATAAACTGAGAGATTTATTAGTACTACTATCACCTATGTAATAGGAAACATGTCCATGATGAGTACATGCTATGTTCTATAAATGTCAGATTCTTTTCCTTGATCTAAAGTTTTTCCTTGATCTAAAGTTTTTCCTTGATCTAAAGTTTCATCGATTGTAGCTAGTAAAAATTTTATCACTTTGCCATATAGAGCAATAACTCTTGTAATTGCAACTGAATAACATTCCTCTGAAAACAGACTTTCTTCTTGTAATCTTAAGAGCACAAACCTGATATTTGTGCTCTTCTGAAAAGTGATATGAACCACAAAACAGCATTGTTTCCTTTTCTATCTTTTTCCAACTCCTTAGAATATTTCTCTGGAAATGTCTCCAGTTCTTATTTTTTACTGAATCAAAGAAACATAGTAGTTACCATTACTCAAATTGGATTACCACCATTGGATTGGATTACCACCTCGAATTGGATTTTGAACTGAATTTGTACAAGAAAGGTAACGCTGTGTAGATATTTCAAATTAAAATGATCCTTTAAAATATTTTATTTTATTTCAGGTTTTGACTGAGCAAAAATATATGGGGAAAACCTGTGGAATGTGTGGAAATTATGATGGCCAAGGATTGAATGATTTCATGAATGAAGGTAAGACCTAAAAGACAGATGAGAGGAAAGTTCTAATTACAGTGAGTCAAAGTAAAAATGTAATGCTGTACTTGCTTTTCTCTGACTGTTGAGACAATTTTAGATCTTGGTAAAACACTCCCAGAGCTCAACAACAAACTTATCAGTCATGTGGTTATGCCAAACACTCTTCTCTGCCACTCTTATTTGCTACAATTATTTTGAAACTCATTGGTCACACTCACTTGGTGAGACTCATCTGTCTCACTTAACTTCTCAAACAATGTAGGTCCATAACAAAGCACGATAGATGGGTGAAATTATTACATAAGCTGGAAGTAAGAATGAGATTATAATTGGAAGAACATAATAGACAAGAACATAAACAAGCAGTACGTTGCAGTAGAGGTAGATCTTTACGACAAAGTCACTTGGTGCTGATGAGTTGACATCGCAGATGCAGTGCCGGGGTTTTTGCTTCAGACTTGCTTTAGTCTGGCCTGATGGACTAATGCCAACTAGCAATTGGAGCCCATTAGGCATGATCTTAAGAGTGTATCTTCTGGTTTGGTTTCACTAGAGAGAACTCAGTACACCAAGATCACATTACAATGCAAACCAAAAAGCTGTAAGTCTGGATGGCTGGAAGACTTGCTTCAGAAGCACATTGCTGATCTGAACTACAGTGCTTGTGTGGAGATGCTGCAGCACAATAAGCTGCAATCTCAGATCAACACTGCAGTTTTCTGTACACATCACTGAGAACAGTTTTAAAAAGAATATGATATATTTTTTAGATTGTGATGAGTTTAATGCAACAGATAGGGGAAAATAAGAATATAGAACAGGAAGAGGAGGTATGATGGCAGATGAAAAGATAACACCACTGACAGAAAACATTAGCAGCTGGTGTCTTCTAAAGGTGTAGAGGCGATAGACTAGGAAGTGATCAAAGTGTTAAAAGTATACTTTGCTGAACAGACTCCAGGTAGAGGATAAAGGAAGCAGTTATCACAGGAAATTAGACTTAGTAGAACCTTGCACAGTAAGAGAACCGAATCTGGTTTTTGCTACGTCTTAGCAACAATTAAAGAAATCTACATGTTTTTTTTTTCCTGACAAGTTATAACCCTTCAATTTACAGGTAAATTGCTGGATACATACAAATTTGCTGCATTACAAAAAATGGATGATCCATCAGAGATCTGCCTGTCTGAGGAGATATCTATTTCTGCCATTCGTCACAAAAAATACGTAAGATCTGGGCTTTTCTGTAGCATAATTTTAACAGAGAAGTAAAAGAGAGTAGAAACCACTGCAGAGAAGTAATTAGTTCATAAGTCTAAATGGAAATAAATAAAATCAAAAGATGTGTATAACATGATATGAGAAAGTGAATTTTTCTCAAAATTTACTTTGAAAAGGGCACAGAGGTATTATTGAGGTTGACTGTGAATGGCTTATGAGCAGGATAAAAGGAGGATCTTAAGGTGCTGTAAGGAAGATGTTTTTCTGAAGAAGAGTTGTAAATATTATTTGTATTCAGGATGAAAAGAAAACTTTGCCTGAGACGTTGAACCTTTTCAATATTGTATCTCCTTGAGATGGGATACTTTAGTAGGCACCATTATGGGCAATACCAACACATCAAAGGCATACTCAAAAAAGGAATGTATGTTATCTTTACATGGTGTTTGCTGTGGAATATTCTCTTCCAACTGAATTGTCGTAAGACAACACACTCCCTGTCTGTAATATTCTCACCAGTTCTTACAGAGATGGATAAGAACAACTCGTTTCCAGTTCAATGAAAAATAAAACTGTTTAGACATATAAAGATCTTTCCCTTATTCAGTAGATTTATATTCCCTTCCATTTGCAGAACTTCTCATGCTTTTTTAAGTCACCTGAACATTACTAAACTGTAGAATAAAGGGCAAATCAACAAAAAAATCATAATTAGCAGTGAAATTCCATTGTCTTTTTCACAAGAAAAGAATACTCTTAGGACCAAAAATTCTCTGTTTTTTTAAATTTAGGTCATGATCTGCTCCCAGCTACTCAACCTTGTGTCACCAACCTGCAGTGTGCCAAAGGAGGGGTTTATTGTTCGTTGCCAGCTTGATATGCAGGACTGCAGCGAGCCAGGACAAAACAATTGCACTTGCTCTACACTGTCAGAGTATTCAAGGCAATGTGCTATGTCCCATCAAATGGTGTTCAACTGGAGGAATGAAAACTTCTGCTGTAAGTTCAAATGTTTTATAGGTACAAGATTTTACATGTTTGCTCTATATTTTATAGAGAGAGAATGATTCTTTATAGGAACTTATAAAAATTGATTGTATAACTTTGCTGTCATGAATGAAACAGAAATGATTTGCTTAATGGAATAGCAGTGATTTTGGATAATACTTTAAGAGGGAAGGCAAGAAAGCCTCTCCAAAGAAGCGAAATCATTAAAGGTAGCTTCTAGATCTAGATCAGAGGCTTTCCTAATTTAATTATATTCCTGACATGATAGCTGGACTTGCCATAGTCTCTCATGTCATCATTGTTACTTTCTAGGACTTCCACCATTTTGATACATTCTCTGTTTCTCTTGTCTTAATCTTCTGTTGTCCTCTTGGGTCATCACTTCCCTCGTACTCAAAACCTTCCCTACCAAAGTTCCATTGTTACCCTAACTCTTCTAAATTGCACCTCTTCCTGAAATTATTCTTTCCACCCCTACAATTCTCCAACATTATCTTAGGTAAATTGGTAACCCATTTTATTTTTTTTGGTTGCTGGTTTTAGTTCTCCAAAACTGTAACTCCATACAGCATTTTATAGACATAAATATGTATCAAGACTGGGTAAGAGAAGGTTATTGTCAGAGTTCAAAAGTTTTTTAAAAGTTCAACTCAAAGTATTTTAACTTTTTGCATGGTTGTTTGTTACAGCTGTGGGAAAATGTTCCGGGAACCAAATCTATGAGGAATGTGGTTCTCCATGTATTAAAACCTGTTCCAACCCAGAGTACAGCTGTTCCAGTCACTGTACCTATGGTTGCTTTTGTCCAGAAGGTAACAGTTTTGTATTCATCTTAACTTTACCCATATAAAAATATGGAAAAGTGTATTTATTTTCTTAATACCCCTTGGCAGGGACTGTTCTTGATGACATCTCAAAGAATCGAACATGTGTTCACATTAAGCAATGCCCATGTTCACTCAATGGGAAAATATATGCTCCTGGTGAAACAATGAAAGCAGCATGTAGAACCTGGTAAGTAGAAACAGGTTCTCTCAAGAGAGGGTAGAATATATTCTTACCAAATGGCTGGAAATTTTAACCTAACTTTTCTGATGGTAAATACACATGTATCATCATCTCTGAGCTCACCTTGTTTGAAAGCCACAAACCATATATTGGTAATTGAAGACAGAACTACATTTCTCTCATTTCCTGATTTATCTCTACAAATAGAAACCATACAAAGCAGTATCATTTTTAGCTCCTGTATGAAAGGACAGGTAAAATGAGTTCAGTACTTGTGACTTCTTTCTGTCAGTCTCAGAAACTTTAGTCACCGAATTAATCCTGGAAACTAGTTGTCCTTTTCGCAGCATAAAATAATTAAGTCAATATTGTTTAGATTTGAGAAAAATAATGAAGTTGCAAAGTAGACTTCATTTTACTTTCTTTGCTGTCATCATTTGCTAAAGCAAAGCTTCCAGATAGAAACACTAGGTCATATTTGCTAATAATTAATGACTTCATAGGACAATAATCTTACACAAAATTTCTTGTTTTCCTCAGCCAATGTACAATGGGTCAGTGGAACTGCATAGACTTGCCTTGCCCTGGAAGGTGCTCCCTCGAAGGAGGTTCCTTTGTCACCACGTTTGATTCTAGGTCCTACAGGTTCCATGGAGTTTGCACTTACATTCTTATGAAGGTAATTTCCTTGAAATCTAGAAACACACCAGTATTTATGCTTTTAGTCAGTCTTTGATTTCCTTTTGTTATTCAAACTGAGGTTTTCCTATGATGTGCATTTATTCTACAAACACTTTTACACACTCATTTCATTATTTTCATCTAGAGTTCTGGCCTGCCACACAATGGAACCCTAATGGCTGTATATGGGAAGTCTGGTTACTCCCATTCTGAGACATCACTTAGTGCTATAATTTACTTGTCTACAAAGGTGAGTAATTACTCCATCATCTACTCAGCATTTCAGTAAGCAAATTAGCAAAGTAGTATTAAAGGCATTACTAGTAGGCTGAACTGAAAAAATATGGGGGATTGTTATATATTCTAACGCATGCATATGCAGCAAAGATCTGTAATGTCACTTTAGTTCAGGAGGGTAGAGTTTTGTGCAGAAAACTACAGGATTTTCAGAGTGAAACCTGAAAATATTATGAATAATATGTGAGAAAACTTATTATTATGTAGGTTTCTGGCAAGAGAGTGCTTCAATTAAAGAAAACATAAATACCATCAGCATAGATACTTACTTCTCATCCCATATCCTCATTCATACAGGACAAAATTGTGATTTCTCAAAATGAACTCCTAACTGACGATGATGAACTTAAGCGGCTACCTTACAGATCAGGTAAAGAAAAAGGGAATAGATGTTAAATGCATATTACATTAATCTCTCTTTTATATCTTTTTCTTTTCTAGCAAATGCCAATAGCAGAGATTTTAAAGAAAGGTCAAAAATCTTTCCCAGTGAATCTATTCCATTATGGAGTGGAAAAGTGGGAAAAAAAAGACATGTGTAGACTAAGTGGAAAGACATATGCAGACAGAATGCTGGAACATTTATTTATGTATTAATATCAATTCTTTAAAATATTTTTATACACCAAAGTCATTGTTGTAAAATATTCCTTTCTTGTAGGTGACATTACTATTTTCAAGCAGTCCTCAATCTACATACAAATGTATACAAACTTTGGGCTTGAACTTGTCATTCAAACATCACCTGTGTTCCAGGCATATGTGAAAGTTGGACCACAATTCAAAGGCAGGACTCTAGGTAAGAAAATTAATTCCAGTGCAAAAGAGAGAACATATAGTGTGTAATAGTGAAAGCTTCCTAGCATCTTTTAAGAATAAGCTCTCTTCTCTGAATTTGGAAAACCCGAATAAAAATACCCCCGTTGGAAAATTGACGTGCATTGTTAAGAGTTACTTTACAAGTAACTTTAAAATAACCTGTAGAATTTGATAGGTAACATTTTTGATGTGCCAGAAAATACTGATTTTTGTATTTATTATGCGTTCTTCCACTATGTGTTCTCAACATAATGGGGGAGCAATGAGTTAGCTGAGAAACAGTATTAGCCACAAAGGCACATCCTAAATTCTAATTGTCTATGTGGATTTACAGAGAGGCTTAAATGTTAAAAACAGATAAATGTATATATCTCTATGCCATTGCAGATTTTTCATACTTCCAAAAACACATATGCAACTGTAGAAGTACTTTCAGTTTGTACGTATTCTTTGATTTTGGGTCTTTTCTTGCGTTCCTCCTATTATTAGGTTTATGTGGCAATTACAATGGCGACACTACAGATGACTTCATGACCAGCATGGATATCAATGAAGGGACAGCTTCCCTGTTTGTAGATTCCTGGAGGGCAGGAAATTGCCAGCCTGCTTTAGAGAGAGATACTGATCCCTGTGCTATGAGCCAACTGAATAGTAAGTAGCTGATCCTGTTCTAACTGTTCTCTCTAGCTAGCTTTGTCAGTCCCTCCAGAATCACAAAAAGCAAGGGAATGAAAGGGCTTGAGAAAAATTAGAGATTTGAATGTCATAGATTCCTTCATCAAAAATAAGTATCTGAGAACATACCTTTAATGGAAGATTTTACTAGATTCCTTTCTGGAGATCTGAGATTACGAAGATGGATCAGAGGTTTATGCTGATATTTATCAGTGAAACTGTGATGTCCATGGAAGCCTTAAACTGCTTCTCGCCAGCATGGTGACCAAAATCCAGGCATTACCCTCTCAGGACTCTACTGCTATTTTACACAAAGGGAAAAACAAGTGCCATACTGAGGTATTTGAACAAGCATAGAGACTGCAAGACATATGAAGTTGTCATCTTATTCTGTGCATTATTGCTACCAGTTCAGCTGAAGTGTTCAGTGTTACTGCTGGAAAATAATAATAATAATAATAATAATAATAATAATAATAATATGCTTAAGAAAGCAAAGCTGGAGAGAATCCAGAAAAAAATTGGAGAGGATAATCAGTAGTTTAAAAAACATGGTCTAAGATGAGAGATTAAACAAAGGAGGAGAACATAACAGAGAAAATTAAGCAGGAATGCAATAGTTGTTTTCAAATCCATTATTATATTGCCATTCTCCACTGGTAGGAAGGATAAGAAATAATCTGCTACATAATATTTTCTAGTAGACTGATACTCTGATGATGAGCAAAATGAAGCATCTGAACAGATTGCCTGCCAGGTTTTCAACTCGGTACTACTGGATGTCTTTTAACAGTACATTAGTCAAATTTTAGTAGTAACAAAGCATTTCTGTTTTTTTTCTTTTCTGACACAGACTAGATGAGCTTTTGAGATTATTTCCAAACCTCTTTTCTAAGCCTGTTCTTCATGCCTTTTTTTCTAACTTTCTGTGGTGTTTAATGTCCACACCTTTTTTTTTTTTCCTTAGAAATATCTGCTGAGACTCATTGCTCCATTCTTACAAAGAAGGGTACGGTGTTTGAGAAATGCCATGCTGTGGTGAACCCTATTCCTTTCTATAAGGTAGGAACTTAAGCAGGTCCAAACACGGACCAGATGTATTCAGGTACACTATACCACTTAGGTTAAATAGCAGTGTGCAGCTGGTCAGGAACAATGTTCTTGAAAATCATTTCTACTGCATCAAAAACCTGGCTTAACCATAGGCTGCCAATCTGAAGCCTCAGAATCAGAAAATATTTTTGCTCACATTGCAGTTCTCAACATCTTTAACTATGTAAAGTATGGATTTTTCCCATATGCATAACTGAGTTCATTATGTTTGCCCATCTCTATGAAACATTCTGAAAGTTAAAAACAAAAAGCAGTGAATAAACAAAGGCATTGTTTTAGCAGCTTAGCATGTTTTAGTCCTGTCAACCAGGTAATTAATCTGATCATTTTGATGTTGGTGTTCTAGTTATGCAAAAAATGCATTTTGCATGGCTCACCTCTCTGTTCAGTATTTTTAACACTTTCAGATCTCTGCTCCCCAGTAACAAAGTATGCTCCATGTGTTGGGTTTCAGAGATGTGTCTACCAAGCCTGTAATTATGAAGAGACCTTTCCCTATATATGTTCTGCTCTGGCATCATATGCACGAACATGTAGTTCTATGGGTTTAATCCTCGAAAACTGGAGAAACAGTATGGACAATTGCAGTAAGTAATAGAATCAAGTCCTAAAAATATGCTGTCACATGAATGCATGCACATAGGTCCATCTATTTCCATTTAAAAAATATCTATGCTTGACACACCTAGGACAAAGTAGAGGAAGAATCTGTATTCTAAAAGCACACATTAGTCATTAGAAGATAATTACCCATTGCTTCAGTCAGCCAACTACCAGGCATAAAAGCCAAGTTTCCTAGGAGCTGCTGGCCTTACAGACGTGTCAAAACTCAACAAAGCACTTCAAACAGTGAAACAGTATCCTAAGCTGTACTTAAGAGCAGCGAAAAATATGATAAACAAAAAGAGGAGGAAAACAGAAAACAACAGTAGATATCCAGCTCATAAACATTCTGTCACATATCAAGACTGCAGTGCCTGAAACTGAAAGGCAATAAATAAATGAATAAATAAATAAATAAAGATGCTGTATTTTGGCTGCTGAAAAAGATATTTTCATTTAAGATTATATCAAAGAGATTGCTCATAAACTTCAAGATGAATATGCGGATCCTTCCAGGGCTTGATACTTAAATAATGGAACTAACAGATAAGTGTGCCACACGATAAGAAAGGACAAGGAAGGACTCTGTTTGTAAATGTGATTTTGATATTAGGCAATTTAAATAGCAGCCCTGTTCAACATTATAAGAAAACACTTCGGTATTTCTGCAAAGCTGCTTTTTGCATGATTACATTCCAAGGTACAGGAAGAAGCCATAAGATGATTTAACCTTTATAATATTTACAAGCATCTCTAGGGTGGGGGATAAGCCTTTCTCTACAATATTCTCACCACAGCTTCGCATTCTCAGGGAGAGGAGCAAGAGCACTGAAGCTCTGGAGAGAATAAACATTAAAACTATCGATAGAATTAAAACCATTGATAGAATGTGTGCAGCACATCGCTCTGAATCTAGTGTCTTTCACAGAGAAGAGTAAATGAAATTTAACAGACACTCTTCCTGTTTTGCAGCCATTACTTGTACTGGCAATCAGACGTTCAGCTACAACACCCAGGCATGTGACAGGACGTGCTTATCACTCTCCAACCGAGCTCTGGAATGTCATCCAACTGACATCCCTATTGAAGGCTGCCATTGTCCTAAAGGAACGTACTTGAACCACAAAAACGAATGTGTTCGTAAATCTCATTGTCCCTGCTATTTAGAAGATAGAAAATATATTTTACCTGACCAGTCAACAATAACTGGTGGGATTACCTGGTAAGGTTGCCAAGTTCAGCAATTAGAAGACTGAAATGGGGAAGAGGTGTCTTCATGTGTCTGCTTTGCTTTTAATACAAAAGAATTATTTTTTGAGACATATTTTTCTACTCCTTCCTAAAATACAAACATTATTAAAGGAAAGATTTAGAAGAGGGGGACAGGGAAAAGGAGCAACTTTAAGCTTGAAAATGTTAAGAAAAAAAAAAAAAAGAAAGAGACTATTAGGTAAATCTCACTCTTGATAGATCAGAGTAAAAGATTTTGCCAACAGCACCTGTACAGCTACCTACGAACCAGTTGATGGCCATTTCAAAAACCATTTTACTGTATACTGCAAAAAATAGATGCATATGATATGTTTCATTTGGGAGGATGTTGAAGAGCTAGTAATATGAAACATTTCCAGTAGTGGAAAACATGAAGTCATCATGCAAAAACTTAAAAATTTCTTTCTTAGGAAAGAACAGCACTGAAACTCCTTGCCTTTTTTTCCCCTCTCCAGCTACTGTGTTAATGGGAGGCTAAGTTGCACTGGCAAACCTCAGAATCCTGCAGGTATGGGTCTCTCTACTTCTAAACCATATTCTTTTCCTTTATATTGTAACACTGTAACTTCACAATCACCTGTTTCTTTTTCTTCCTTTTTTTCTAGAAAGCTGCAAAGCTCCTAAGAAATATGTATCGTGTTCTGACAGTTTAGAAAACAAGTATGGAGCTACATGTGCCCCTACCTGTCAAATGTTAGCCACTGGAATTGAATGTGTGAGTTTCCCAACTCTGTGATATAAATCCTTTGAGAGGGGTAGAATATTCTGGTTGTTACCTGGAGCTCAACAAGTCCAGGATTCAGCTCTTTCTAGTAAAATGAGAGGAGTTATTTCTTCTAATATGACATAGTTAGACAACATCCAAACTTGTTTCCACAGACTGTAGATACTAAAAATATATATAAACTTTCAGAGAGTGATGAAGTGAACTTATAGACTAAAAATTCATGACAATCACCTCTGGTTCAGGTACTCCATAAGCTACATGTCACTGAAAACTGATGAAACATTAACCATACGCTTCCTATTCTGTTCTTTCCTGAATACCTGCTAGTGACAGAAGAAATGTGAGATATAGGCTAAAGGAACTTTTGGTCTATCCATTTATGGCTTTTCTTATGCTTTTAAGGAAAATGACTAGAAGAACTACACGTCATAGGCTTCCTTCATATAAAGAAGCTCGCACTCTATTTGTCAAAAAAATTGGTAATACTGGTAGATAAATTTTCAAGAGGCTTCGAGTACATTTACTATCTCACACAACAGGTATATTCTACAACCTTAGTAAAACTAAAGTAAAACTTAAGTAAAATTAAATAATATATCAGCACTAGTAAAATCATAAAATTTACATCAAAACTTAGCACTTGTTGTCTCTTGACACTGAACACCTACAACATAAAATGCAACAGATCGCCTTTCATTTCTTTTCATTTTGCAATTTGTCAATCTTTGTCAGGTACCTACTAGGTGTGAATCGGGCTGTGTCTGCACTAACGGGCTGTATGAGAATCTTGATGGCAGGTGTGTACCAGCTGAGGAGTGTCCCTGCGAATATGGTGGTCTTGCTTATGGAAAAGATGAGCAGATCCAAACCGAATGTGAGATCTGGTAAGAGCTGCATTGCTGGTCCTCTTTCACTAAACTCCACAAATGGACAATAAAAGCATTTGACTGACAGAATAGGAACAGCAACAGCCAAACTACAGCAACAAAGCACAGAAGTAGTAAAGACAAGGATGATACTTGATCATGTATATGCACAGATGAAAAGGTCATGGTCTTCTAGTTTGGGGTTCTGCTTCAAGGATAATCTTTGCCATCTTCATATCCAGTAATAAAGTGACATTGAGGAAAGTCTGTAACTGTAAACTATATTAAATCAACTGTTGACAAGTATGTCTAAGTAAAGATGAGCACACAACCTTCTTTCCTTTCTGTAGACAAAAACAACCTTCCCAAAATACTATTTCCATTTTTAGCAATATTCTTAACAATTCTCCCCTTTGCAGTTCCTAATCTGGTACTAAAAAAACTACCACCACCCAAACTACACAATGATATCTAATCCTAGCAACAAGCAAAAGAAATAAGCTTCCCATTTTCAATGGGGGAAAAAAAAGGCAAAAGGTGAACTAAGATTTCTTCTTTATCATGCATTAATTTTCTCAGCAGTCTGTAGCTTTTTTGGTATGTATCCTTAACTTTGCTAGAGTGTACCCAAGTGAGTTAAATTAATCTTACCTATAAAATGCATCCATATAATAAGAAGCATTAAGGTGGCATGCCTTTGAAATCTGAGCAAGGTTTTCTTCTCGCTGCCAGCACTTGCACAAGAGGCAAATGGAAGTGTGTTCAGAAATCCAGATGTTCCTCAACATGTAATCTTTATGGAGAAGGTCACATTACTACCTTTGATGGACAGCGCTTTGTGTTTGATGGCAACTGTGAATACATACTAGCTATGGTAAGGTCCATCTTACTGCTTCTTTTGGCAGTATCTCAGCAATCAAGATACAGTTTTATTTAAATGACTAATACTCTAGGAAATCTCTGTATTCAATAAAGCACTTGGAATTTTTATATATGCTTACTTGTTTTAATAAATTTTGTTTCTTTCAAGAACTTGAGGTCAAAAGCTTTTACTTTTCAAGATGTGTGTTTTTCACGGGATCGTGAGCATTTTAAATTTACTAATGTGTTTGAATAGTTGCTTATAAGTATCCATTATGTACCTGCCTAATATATCTTTGGCAAAGTGATGTCAGTTTGAATACCAAATCAGAAGTCATCAATAATTTCCAAAAGAATGATGCCACTAAATCTTAATACTCCATTGGCACTTGCATTTCTCTATACAAAGGTGCAAGTTCTGAAATAAAATTCTTCAGCTGACAAAGCTGTAAGATGTCCTATAACTTCTGTGCTAAAAAACAGCATTGAATTTTGAGACAGTCACAGATGGGTCATCTTTCACATGAGAATGAGGAAATAAAATAGATTACCTACAGCGCTGAAGGGCAGAAACACAATTATGGCATGCTTAAGCTTTCTTTTCCTGTTTGAACTTGCAAAGCTTAAAGCACAGTCTGTTTCATTTCTTTCTTTCATTTTTAGGATGGCTGCAGTGTTAATAAACCTGTTTCCTCCTTTAAAATTGTTACGGAGAATGTCATCTGTGGGAAATCAGGGGTTACCTGCTCCAGATCAATCAGCATTTACCTTGGGGTAAGAGTCTCACACTACTGTTATTTAGCTGAATAGCCTTTTAAGCTATTTAAAATTAATTATTAAGCTTTTTAGGCAAGTTTGCTCAGCTTCTGGAAACTTCAGCTTGTTTGTCTTGTAATCAGTGCCTTGTAAGTGAAGTTAACGTGCTTAACCTAGAGCTCAGTATTAGCAGAACTACTACTACTGCTTCAGTCTTTATAGAATATAATATTATTTATATAAAATTAAGGCATTCCCATCATGGATGATGGGTGAAAGCACTGGAAATTTCTCCAAACCCAGCAAATATCTGCTTTTTCAAAACATCTCCAGATCTGTGTTAACTTAAGCAAGATCTGACAGTGAAACTACAGCAATGAGCAGCTATCCTCATTTCCTCTGTTCTCTGAAGACTTAAAAAATCAGATCAGTTGGGCCATTTTCAGCTCTGCGGGACAAGAAATACCTCTCAGGACAAGATATCTCAGAGACTTTTATCAGACAGAAAGAAAACTACTGGCAGGTGACATTTTTATCCCAAGAAATGGTTACCTGCAAGCAGTGTACATTTGCCGCTGAGTAGCACCAGCAGTATGGTCAGTGCTGCATCCAGCCAGTGCAGTTCTTTGCATATTGTTTTATAAGTGGATGATCCAGACAAATCATTCTGCTAACCATCTTGAAAGTTGGGAGATGGTGAAAATATTCAAGACAGACAGCTAGTTTCTCTCTAATTCTTCATTTTTTCCTAAGAATAAATAGAAGACGACATCTTTTTCTCTTCTGGTTACATGTAGATGTCAATATTTCTACCAAATGCAGTCAGAAAGGTATTGTAACAATGAGAGTATTACAATGACAGATTTTTTTTTGCATGTTTCTCCTCAAAACTTACATATGCATACAAAAAAATAAGAAAAAACTATCCAACTATTTTGAGATAGGATGTCAACCTGAAGAAACTCAATTATCCTGTAAGATATATGTCACCACTGACAATACATTACACTTCACCATCTGGCTACCATAAGATCAGTGGGACTGACAAGACAATCTGTAGTGGTACACATCCTTAATAATCTCACAGGAACAGTATGAAAAGCTTGCAGTTGCTAAGCTGCAGTATCTGGAATTTTTTTCTTACAGAACTTGACATTCATACTGCGAGATGAAACCTTCTCTGTTTCTGGGGAAAATCCTCTTGTGCGATATAAAGTGAAAAAAAATGTCCTTCACCTGATGTTCGATATTGTTATCCCAGGAAAATACAACATGACACTTATCTGGAACAAGCACATGAATTTCTTCATCAAGATCTCCAGAGAAACACAGGTACTGAAGAATAACTTCCTCAGTAAAATTCTCAACTGAGATTGAAGTGCACATTTGGTTACAGTTGTCTCAACTGTCTATAACTGTAAAATTTTTCAGAGAAGGCACTTGTAATTATTTTTCTGCTCACCATTATTCTCCGCAATAGCAGAGGTCTTCCGTGGAGACTGATTACTAAACAATTGCTCTACTACATAAGAAGAATCTTTGGGCTAAGGATTTTTGCTGTATACAATAGCAACATTTTAGTTGTATTTTCCTTTCTAAATTATGACAGATTATACTTAAGAGGAAAAACACATTCATCCACTGACTGATAAACAGGACTTCATGCATGGACTTTACCAACATATGAGAGTATTTATAGATGACATTCACTACTGAAATATAGGGGGAAAAAAAAGAGAGAATCCAAGTGGTTGTAATTTGTTCAACTGTCATTAATGTCTCCATTCCATTTAGGAAACTATCTGTGGTTTGTGTGGGAACTACAATGGCAATATGAAAGATGATTTTGAAACCCGAAGCAAGTATGTGGCATCAAATGAGTTGGAATTTGTCAATTCTTGGAAAGAGAATCCGCTCTGTGGGGATGTATACTTCGTGGTGGACCCCTGCAGCAAGAACCCTTACCGGAAAGCCTGGGCAGAAAGGACATGTTCCATCATCAATAGCCAAGTTTTTTCTGCCTGCCACAACAAGGTAAGAAATGCTTTGGCTTTCTGCATAATCTACAGTCTGACAAACAGTATCTGCTCACATTCCAGCATTTTGATTTTCTCTTCCTCAAAACATTTTAATAATACTTAAACGAAATACATTCTGACTCTCTTTAATCCTAATCCTTCCTTATTGGTACTTCACATACACATTGTTAACTCAAAAGCCAAGTTTGGCAGTAATTGAATAATTAAAATATTAGAGAGAATTGAAAAAAGAAGACTTAAGTATCAAAAATCAGAGAGCCCATTGATGATGCCTAATACACTTATTCTTTCTGAAAAAAATAGGCTTTTTGGAGAAAAAAGACAAAAGGTGTCAGTTGTAAATGAACAGCATTGTCTAGAAGATGCAGGAGAGCAGTGCAAGAGCATGATGTCATCAGTCCTTTTTTTTCCCAAGTTACTCACTTTATTGATGAAAGTACCACAAGATTTGTCAGAACCAGGTTTTCTGAAAAATTCTCCACTTTCCAGAAGTGAACACAAGAGAGAAACATGAGTAAATCTGTGGTGGTTCTGCATATCTGTGGAGGATGTACTGCTGATGAGCTTGCACATTTATGCTGGAATGAATGTGGGTTTGTTTAGCTGATTATACACAATGTGTTCAAGATCAGTGTGGAGCTAGAAGTTTATATCAAAATATCAGCAGTTTCTATTGTTAGTTTTCAGGGACCTATGTTCCTACTAAAAACAGTAGTCTGAATTAGGACTGTTTTAGTGTTTAGAAGAAATACTGTCTGCACTCAGAGCAAAAAGTGCACTTAATCTTCCCCTGAATTAAGGAGTATTGTTCAGCCTGGAAAAAACCCCACATTCTTAACAAACAGACAGAAACTAAACACTAGAATTTTCTCTACTTCATTTCCCACACAGGTAAACCGTATACCCTACTACGAGGCCTGTGTCCGAGACTCTTGTGGCTGTGACCTGGGAGGAGACTGTGAGTGCATGTGCGACGCCATTGCGGTGTATGCCATGGCATGCCTAGATAAAGGCCTCTGCATTGACTGGAGAACACCAGAGTTCTGCCGTAAGTTTCTCCAAGCTGTCTTTAAACAGCTTCATGTGGTATACATCGATAGCTCGTTGCTTTCAGCATGATTTTTGCTCGGTTAAAGCATAAGGAGGTATGAGAGGCAGTTACTATAAGTATATTAGTACAGCAATATAGGGAATTGCTAATGTAAGTACCTCCAAAGCTGCATTTTCTCTATGAACAAATAGTTGACTTTGGTCAACACTTTTGAACTTTCACTTTTCATTAGCAATAAATAAATCAAATTAGGTTTTTCTTTTTTTGTGGAGTAATAAGAAAATAAAGCAGTCACAGAGGGTAACATACTGCTTTTGCTGTATAGTGAACAAATCACTTTGTCATCAGAGGGAAAAGGAAGCTGTGGAAAACGTGTTTTTTTGTTTTTTTGTTTTTTTTTAGTTATAATGAAATTACTTTCTCTGTGGATTTCAAGGAAATAAAGACAGCTGTGTTGTCCAGAACACTGTAAAACAGGAAAAAATAACAATGTGTTCCAGAACACAGTACATGGGGAATAGAAATATTTATAATGTTGTAAGTCAATACTGGGAATTGTTAACTTTGATGATTTCAATGTGTCACTGTATTATGCATTAAAAAAAAATAGAAATATCTGCACAGTATGCTAGCAAAAAGGATAGCTTCAGATCACTAGAACATTAATTTAAATTTGCATTGTAAGTGATTATTTCAGTGACAATTTTTCCGTTTCAAACAATATTAATTTTGTCCTCTCTGGTCATAAACCTTTGAGAAAGCATGTCAGCAATTGAAAAATGTAAAGTTCTCTCCTGTTTTGCTGTTTATTTCAGCTGTGTACTGTGACTATTACAATTCACATAAAAAATCAGGAAATGAGGATTCTTACTCTTATGACTACAGCAGTGACAACTGCACCTGGCACTACAGACCATGTAACTGTCCAAACCAAAACTACAAATATGTCAACATTGAAGGTAATAACTTATAGTACTGTAAACCAGGAAACATTAAGATAATCATTTTTACTGCTTTTGTTTTAATCAGTTATACCACAGTTAGCTAAAGATAACATTAACTAGAACACCATTAAGACAGTTTTTACTAATTTTTACTATTGCAATGTTAAAATGCAATTTTTACAGTACCTGCATTATATCTAGCTTTGTATTGAACTCAGCTTAACTGGAAGCAGAATCCTTTAATCTGTACCATTCAAGGTATGTGCTGTACTAGGTAAGAAAATATGTGCAATAATTTTTATTAGACTTTGGATATAATCGAAGAAAACAAAAAAAGTTAATATGTAGGCTGACTCTTCTTCAGAGCATGACACTGGAAGTGCTTATCTAAATATATGGTGTTAAAATCAATACCATTTTTTAATAACAGAAGTAAAAGTAGTTGAGTGATAAATGATACACTGGAAATGCAGTTCTCTGAAAAAGGCAAAATTAAATAATCTTCCTGTTTAGGTTGTTACAACTGTTCTCATGATGAATACTTCGACCATGAGAAGGGACAGTGCATGCCATGTGGTAAGTAGAGACCTATGTATTTGCTCTCTTTCTCCTACAGTAAGTAGAAAATATTACTAAAACAATTGTTTATTGTTAAGGAAGATAATTTCCTAATAAATTTGGATTAATCCAGGCATAGTTCTCCTTTCAAATAAACAATGTATGGAAAATAACTGATTTATTTTAAAAAAAAGACTTAATTTGTTTTAGAGAATTCTCAGATGCAGAAGTTGGACTGTCCCGATTAATTTAGCAAGTTAAAAAATTGTTTTTAATGTAAATGTTTATACTTTTCAAAATCTGTCTGTTCCTGAAAGCATACTGATGTTCTCATCTGCATGAGAAGCAGAGATGTATATCTCAGATACATTTAGCATTTTTCTTAACAAAAAGAACATCTGGAATAGGATCTAGCTAATGAACTCTACTTAGCAATTACCTTTTGAGGATATATTTTTATTATTTTAATCACAGGATTTATTATCATACAATGTACTGCTATGGAAACCTAGCTGATTATATGTTAAAGGCAGATTCCAGCTGCATAGTTCAGAGTTTCATGCTGTCCTGTGTCCCAGGACAGTTAGTCACCTCACTTACCTACAGTTTAATATAACAGCAAGCATCTTCAAGACGATTTAGATAATGAACACAATACTTCGATTGCAGTTTGAAAATTGCTGCGTTTGGGATATTCTTAATATGTTTTAATTCATACATTTAATCTCTTCTACCTTTACACAACAGGAGAGGAAAGGACTACTACTATTACACCTAAGGCATCTTCACCTTCAACAGGTTAGTATAAGTCAATGACTAAATTCGGACAACTATCAGTGCTTAAGTGCTAATTTGAGCTTCTGAGATGAGCAGTCCTCTTTCTGACTTGATATAATAACTTGACCAGTTTCATATTCATAAGGTGTAATAATGAAAAATTATTAGCATCACAATTATCACATTTTTCCAGAAATATGATAGATATCTTAAATTGTGAAAGAAAATTCTTGAGAAAATATTTTTTAACTACTTTTAGACACTTCCAGATATCAGTAAGCAAATATCTCTACTAATGTATAAAGGCTTCTGTCTCTTTTCTGGCATATGAAATCTCACAAAAAAAATCAGCATAGTTCGTAATGGTGTCTAGCAACATGACATTTTAAGAAGGTTTTCATAGAAACTTATGAAGCATACCAAGCCCCAGTAGTCCTAATTCCAGGAAAAGAAATTCTCTCTATATATATGATCTTAAATTTATTAGGAATTCCATTAATTTCACTGAGAAATGGTATTTTTGTACTGGTCACTGGAAGGACTGAGGAAAAATAATAATTTGCTGCCTGAATTATAAAATGCCAAATACACAATTCCATCTTTCTTAATATGCACAAACACACATTACAAATTTATTTTAAAGGGATGAAAATACTTTTAAAAGCTTCTGCTAGAGTTCATGTTCAATTTATTGCCTGAAAATCAAAGCAGAAGGGATATATAAATAAATTCTCACATTTTTAAAAGATAGTTAAGTTATTAATATTGAAGTTATTATTAAAAACAGTACTAATACTTCCAAAAATATTTTAAATTTACATAAGCATATTTTAATGTATTTTAAGAATTATTTCCTAGCCTTAGATTTTGTGTTTTTTCTTCCCTTAGTGAAAACAGTGCAGCCTACAGTAACAACAGGCTCTACTTCAGTCCCAACATCAATGACTACTCTGCCAACAGCATCACCTACTTCTGCAGCTATTATATCAATGGAGACCACTAATCCAACAGTAACTTCAAAAATCACAAGAACTTCATCAGCATTACCTCTTGTTACAATGAAGTCAACAACAGGTAGGTTGCTGGTTTTACTGACTACACTAAATATTAAACCCATTCTATGCATAGTTAAGAAATTAGTCTACCAGGAGACCAATGCAAGCTAGCTTAACACCCAAGAACAAGACTGTGGATCATGAAATAAGCAAAGGATGCTCCCAGAAACAAGTCTGTAAGAAGCTGGGAAGGGAATGGGGTAAATCAGAAACATTTTGAAGTGTAGGTGAAAGGTATGTGAAAAGATGTTAAAAATACAACAAAAATTTATCTGTGTGATTCCTACCTGTGTGGAAACACATTATGAGTTTTATAAACAAGAAGCCATTTTAGTCCCATTTGGTTTTATGAGCTCAGCTTCAGTCTCATACATGTGCAGTTTCCATGACCAGTTCACAAACATAGTCATTTCCAAGGAACACTCAAACTATTAACCCTGGATGGCTTGAGCAGCCTTTAAGGCAGAACAACACAGATGTCAGTGTCAGGAGTCTAAGCTTCAGAAACACTGGACTGGATCTATGCTAGAAGTTGGTGTTGCCCTCAGCAAAGGGTTGGACAAATGACTCCTGCCTTATAATTCTGATGGCTTGTGTAGGCTCGCATGTGGGACTTGACACTGATATATATTTCAACTAATAAGCCATCCTGGAGCCAGGCCATCAGGGAAAGTGGTGGTACAAAAAGAAAGTACAGTAGTCAAACCACAGCTTCAAAGTTTGGCACTAGGTCAGATGATTAGCAGAGTGTTATTTGGCCTTAAAATAGCAAATTAAAAGAAGAAACTGCAGAGAATTCAGAACATAAAAATAGCCAGTGCAATTGCCCTCTAGGAATAGACCATACAGACTGCAGTGAATGAGTGATAACGAAACTAGCTTCTTACAAAAGTTTTATATAATCAAACACAGGATAAAGAGTTTGAGAAGGAAGATTATGAGAATATACAATTATCATGTTTAAAATATTAAGGATGAAAATTGAGTCCTTGGAGTACATTCACCTTCTTATATAATTTTAACCGTTTTTAATGAATAAATTGATCACTCACATTATATTCTCTACCATAAAAGAACAGACAACAGCAGTTTTTGTCACGCCAGCTGTGACCACAATTGCTACACCTTCCGTAACTCTCTCAACAAAGAGAGCCACGACCACAAAACTGCTGCCTACGTCTACTGCCTCATCAACCACTCCAACAGAGACAGAAAAAGTAAGGTTTACCACACTGCCCATCACGACCACTATCAGAAGGAAAACAACCACATCAATAACCACTCATGCTACATCTCATGTCGCAACTTTCCACAAGCCAAAGTTAACAACACTGGGTAAGTATCACCTTTTTATATCTACTGAGTAGGTGTATCAGGAAGAGCGTCTATCAACAGATTGCACTTAAGAAAAAAAAAGGTTATTCTTAATAGTTGTCTTAAAGTTGTAAATACATTGAAAAAGATACAGAGGACTAAACAAGAAATATAAAAATGGAAATTTTCTTGTCTTGCCAATGGAGCCATCATCTAATGCTCAAATATGGCCTTAGTATTTCTCTTACATAACGTCCCCACAAATCCCACTCCTTCACATATGCGGAAGATCCCACCAAGTGACATAGCTTCTTGAAAATTCAATACAACAGAGTAAATGTTCCCCCGAGCCATTGCAACCACCTTACCCAAATTATAAACTCCATTTGCAAAGAAAGAAAATCAAGCCTTGGAGTCTCAAGCTCTCTATAAACAAGGTCAGCCTCCATGGAAGCAATATCACAACTTGTTTTGCTTGGGTTCATAAGTGAGGCCAGCATCTGGTACACAGTGCTGGGCAGTCAGCTGTGGGGGCGAGGGCAGGAGTGCACCTTCCCCTAGACCACATGCTGTAGGGGTGCCTGAGAGTTTCCTTTGAGAGAGGGAAACTTTCTACTATGCCTACAAGCCGCCTCATGGTTGAGATTTCAGAAGGTGTTTACCTACTTGAATATCAACCATTATTGCCCATCCTTGCCCTCTTTGCAAGAAGCCCAAGCTGTGCTTAGCAACACAGAATCCCAAATAGGTGAGTGCTACAGCTAGGAGGGTGGTAAGACTCATCCATAGTATATGTCAGTGCCTACCTTGCTGATGTCATGAGGCTTCCTCATCCTTCCTGAGGCGGGCAGACTGTACTCTCCACGTGCTATTTGGAGGAAGTCACACACATCCTTTGCTCAGATGCTCCAGGAAGAGGCAGAAGGAACTCACCTGGTGGACATCTTCCAGGTCAACTGCTCTGCATTTCAGGAGAAAAGGAGGAAGATGAGGACAGGAAGTGACATGACTCCAGGGACTGCCCTTTTTTTCCCCTCTCTCAGTGCTTCCCAATACTTAGAAGCCCCCACTTCCAATTTTCTCATCATGGCCCCCAAGCAGGGTCTTAGTGCAGGGTCAACTGCTTGCCTTATATGCGCATTTTTCCCAGCAGCTGTCACTCACGAAAAGACAACCATGCCACAGGTTGTGCCATACCTGATCACCCAGAAAATCACCCCTGCCACATCCACCACCAGCACCTCCAAGACCTCGGTGTCCATAGAAACCAGCCCCACCAGCAGCCCCAAAGTGCTGCTGACAACAACAACTCAGGTCCCCAGCACTCCACCCACCACCTCAGCCTCCAGCACAGCACTCAGCACCCACGCGCCCTTTGCTGCCCCCTCCACAGTCTCCACCAAGTCTCCCACAACAACGAGGCCGAAGCCCACACCTACCACGCTGACATCCACAGCCTCTCCCTCCACAACCAGTGTTTCGACAGAGACGCTGCCAGCTGAGTCCACTGCACCCTCTACAGCCAAAACAAGCCCCCTGCCATCATCTGCCTCTTCTCCATCCTCAACTCTGTCCTCAACATCACTAAGCCCATCACATCCTGGTGAGTCTAGCTCCTGTCTTCCTGCTGCATTGCCACTTTTTCCAGCTCATGCCCTGCTCTCCCCAGCAGCACATGCCACAGGGGCTTCATGTTATTGTGGTTGTGCTCCATTCCCCTGTGGCTTTGATACTGGGGTTCCTTGGACTTGGAAGGGTTCTGGACCCAACTAACACATTGTCCCTACCTGTGTACTCTGCTGTTGACCCTTTAGGGATTTGCCCAAGGACATAAACCTTTGGTATAAAGATCCCTGCCAACTCCTGCCCTTGCACCCAGAGGTTAGCTACCACCCACTCAACCCCATCCCTTGCAAATGTCCTTAGAACAAGGACATTTGGACCGCAAGGTAGGGAAGAGAAGGCTACGAGAGAGGAGAGTCATCTATTTCCAGCTCAACACAATTCTGGGAAGTTGAGGGCAGTTTTGGAAAATCAAAAGCAAGGGATACAGGCCCAGCCTTGGGCTTGACCAAAGGATGCCCCGGTCCTGACACACCCTTAACAAGCACTAGGCCAAAGGAAAAAAAAAAAAAAAAAAACGAACTCTGAAACTGAATGGATCATCACCTTGGGCAACCCAAC